CTTTAACAAAACACATTCAGGAAACATGAGCTTTATCCAACAGCAACACAATTAATATTTCAGTCAGAGGAAAAAAGGAACAGTGTGCCTACACACTGTGTCGCCGAAGACACGTCTTCTCTCATTCAGCGTCTCCATAAATTAAACACTTACAGTGAGTGCTGCTCGTGCCCAGTCCACCCAGTCTTCATGTTTTACTGGGGTTGAGGTTGCAGGGGTGGAAGCTGCTCTGTTTCTCTTATTCAGCGAGGTCAGAGTGCTAATGGCATTTTCCTGCCAAATATGTGCTGTAAATCCCACTTTTTGTTTTACAACACGTCTGAAGCTCTCACACAGAATATGAAATGTTCTCTGTAACGTTCGCTGCTCAGCCTCTCTGTGGTTCGTGTCTCATCAGGAAAGAAAGTAACTCATGTTCCTTCTCCACGGGGCTGCCGGGCTCCGACCACATGCTTTATAACAGCTTTAATCAAACTGAATTGAGGGTAAAATATTACAGTGTTGTGGTATGGATGGGAATTCTGTTACCTTCACATTAAAATCTTAGAGGAACTGACTGTGTTGTATGAAATATAACAGAGTTCTGATTTGAAAATGATACTTACCTTGAATAGTGTGTGTGTACAGAGGGATGTGTGTTTAGATTATAGAAAGACATGTTCTTCCTCACTTTCATTCATGAGATTTTTTGATTTGAATGTTTCATTTTTCTAATTCTTGTTATCAGTTAATCTGGTTTGTAAAATATTTCCTGAAAACAGTGACAGCACAGCTTGCAGTGGAAGAAGTTTTCAGATCAGAACATTTGATCTGTGACACGTGAGGGTGACGAAAAAAATCCCTTAAACATACAAATATCACATGACTGCATTATTATGACACGTTTGTTTACATATAAGCAATATTTTTCTGTTGCAGCCGGTGGAGCGGAGCAGATCTGAACAAGTTTAAACAGGTTTTATTCTATAAAAGTCATATTTTAGAGGCTGATTTTGTGTAAAATATTAATCTGTAACATAGAAACTGAAATACGCTGAGCAGCTACAGTCAGTTATTTATTTATCAACTCATTATTTCAGCTTGACTTTATTTATGTTGAACGTTCTTGTCATTACAACATAAAGGTTTTTATTTTATGATACTTGGACAATTGAAGACAATCTAAAAATGTCCATTGACATGTATTTTGTTATCACTGCAGTTCACTGTCAACGACTGAGAGCTGCTTATAAATGACAGGTTGGTGATATTATGAGTGAAAGTGTTGTCTCACATGATTCAGTATAAAAGCTGTAGAACTGTGAGTGTGAACCTGAGAGCGACAGTCAAACACTTTCTCAAAATAACACACGACATGTTGCCAGAAATCAGGAATCTAAGCGTCTCTCTGAGACCTCGTGAGTTGGTTCACTCTGAAATGACTCAGTGTCTGACCTGCTTCATAAACAGTCAAACAGCAGCTTCATGTTATGTAAGCCGGGGTCAGAGTCAGGAGAGGGGGTGTGTTCACTTTATGTAAGAGGCCTCATACTTTAAGGCTCATATTTTATCTCCTGAGCAGAAATGCAAAGATGTTTCTACCATTTTGTTCAAAGTTTCACTTCAGGAGAATAATTCCGAGTATTTGTGACAGTTCTTTATAATCGGTTGCACACGTGTGGTATCAAGTATCAGTTGTCTGTCAATATTTGATGTGGGTCCTTGTGACTTCAAATTATTTAGAGAGAGAAGTTGTTCTTAAAGGATCCTTCACACACACAAAAAATATATTTTGGGAATCAAACCTGAGGCTGTAAGAAGTTTATAGTTTTCTCCTTTTACAAGAAACTGTGATGGTGGTTTATGGATTTCAGCCTCAAGGAACAGACAACAGCTTCAAATCTAAAGCTAAAAAACTATTTATAGATTCACTGACAGATGATGAATCATTAACAGTTTGAATAATGAAGTCATGTATTTGATATCTGCTGGTTGAAGCGTCTCAGATGTGTTTCTCTTTAACGACAGTAAACCATTTGTTATCTTTTATTTCCTGGTGTTTATAGTCTAGACATTCATCTTTTATCTGCCCTGCATATCCAAGCGGTCGGAGCCAAACACCAGCTCATCTTGACTGAGATGTGGGCGACAGCAGGTAAGTTCAAATAATCACTTGATTAATTGAAATAATAAATTAGACTTAACTTCACACGTTATGATTCTACAGTTCAACTCACCTGTGAGATTTTGATTCTCAAATGATTTCTTAGAAACAGGAAGCAGCTGATTTATCTGATTCAAGCTTCCTATTAGGACTGACCTTCTGTTTTAAAGTTTCCTTTTTTAAGTTTTTAAATTCAACATTCAAGAAGATTTAGTGTCATTTCAAAACACAAGAGGGGACGGAACTACTGAGGTCCCAGTGAGCAGCGATGAAACACAACACGAGAATCTAAAAACTAAACAAGGACAAAAACAACACAAATCCAAAAAGTGCAAATGAGCATTGATACATATATTCAAGTATTATTGCACATAGGATAAATCAATATATTCCATTTAACAGTATCAGTAAAATGTAAAGGAAAAGTAAACATGATTAGAATTAAAATATTTTCATTGACACTGCTTATATACTGCTGAGTGGTTCCTCTGTAGTCATGGCAACATCCAATCTGAATGTGTACAGTAACTGCAGGTTTTTTTATATATATAGATATAAAACATTAATATAAATGTAGAGGAGTAAACAGCTGAATATTGGTCTCTGAAATGCAGTAGAAGTGTAAAGTAACATAAATCTGAGATGTATGTAGTAATCTATAGTTTAGTGAAGTCAGAGCTGATGAGAACTTTGTCTTTGTGCAGAATGTTTAGTGTTGATGTTTCATGTGGATCTTCGGGCTCAGAGTTGATCTCTTTAATATTTATCATGTCTGTGAGGTAACATGAGGCTGAACTCTGCAGCTGATTGATTCCAGACTTTAGCTTTAGCATTAGCTTCAGCCTCTCATATCGCTGCTGAGCTCCGTCCAGCGTGGAGCAGCCGACCGGAGCCACCGAGGTCTGCGGGACCAGAGACAGCGGGGAGCGGCCAACAGAGCAGGGCAGCACCGGTGAGGCTGGATGATCTCTGGAGCTCACACACACACACAGATTTCTGGTTCTTCCACAGTCTGGTTACATGAGGCTGTTAGTAACGAGCCCGTCGCGGCTGAATCACATGTTTTGTTGGGCAGGAAGCAGAGAAGCAGTGAGATGGAGGAGGAGAAGAAGAAGCCGAGGAGTCTCCTGCGGGAGGCGTCGCATCAGATCATCGCGGGTGGATCCGCGGGTGAGTCCGGCGCTTTATCAACTCTGAGGAAAACTGCTCATTGTTATTACGCAATAGTTTGAGGTCAGTTCTGCAGCCCGCGCACTCAACCGTCACACACTATGACGACGTAACGTGGCTACGTCCCCGCGAGACGCTTCCCGGAAGACACGGAACACAATGTTTCTTGTTTGTTTCGCGCATGCGCAGATCATCACACGTGTGAACAAAGTGTGGCCTTGAGTTCTCGCCCCTCCCACGTGATCCACCCACCGGAGCATGAAACACCTCTGATGAAAACAAGAGGAAGTGAAAGAAAGAAGCTGTAGTTGAAAAAGAATAAACCTTTCTACTTATCTATCTGTCTGTCTGTCTGTCTGTCTATCTATCTATCTATCTATCTATCTATCTATCTATCTATCTATCTGTCTGTCTGTCTGTCTGTCTGTCTGTCCATCTAATCTTATCTATCGATCTATCTATCTGTCTGTCGGTCTATCTATCTATCCATCTAATCGAATCTTATTTTATCTTATCTGTCTATCTATCCATCAATCTAATCTCTATCTATCTATCTATCTATCTAATCTAATCTATCTATCCATCTATCTACTTCTGTCTGTCTGTCCATCCTCTCTCTCTCATCCTTTACAAAGTACAATAAATATTTTAAAAGCACCACATTAACTTTTCTAATTGCTAAAGTAAGTGAGTACTTGGTTTTAAATATACTTCAAGTATTAGAAGTAAAAGTACCTGCATAGTGTTGCCTATTCCCCATTAAAAACACAATATGAACATTTATCACAGTGCATTGTAAAGATGTAGTGGAGTAGAAAGTGCAGATATTTGGTGATATAGTGGAGTAAAAGTGAAAATGACCTGAAAACAAATTAAAGTAAAGTACAGATATATATGAGAAATGTACTTAAGTACAGTATCTAAGTTAATGTACTTTGTTACATCCCACCATTACTGTCGATCTGTCTCTGCCTGTCTGTCTATCTGTTGTATTTTAATAACTTCTGCACACTCACTGAACTCCAGACTAAAACTGTGCAGGGCCTCCGTTGTCTGGCAGTACAACCTCAGATGGATGTTTCTGCTCCATGTTGACATGGACACAATCTTTACAGATTTGTCGGCTGCGCGTTCTTGTTGCGAATATCTTGTTCGGCCACATCCTAAAGGTTCTTGTGGTTTCACATCTGGGGAGGAGGCCAATGAAGTACAATGAACTCACTATCATGTTCATTAAACCAGTTTAACACGGCTCTCCCTTTGTGACATGGAGCTGGAAGAAGTTTTTAGAGAATGGTAAACTGTACCGTAAAGAGATGCACATGGTCGGTAACAATACTCAGACAGTCGAGTAGATGTGGCATTCAAATGATGATTTATTGGTATAACAGTTGCATGACACTATTCATTGCCATACACTGCTGCAAGCCTCAGCGTACCCTCAAGATCGTCCTGTATCGCTGATTACAAGTCCAAAACACTTGATGACGCTAAAGTGCACAACTAAAATGGTAATTGGTAACTTAGATTGTGCAGGAGACTTTCAAACGTACAACGGATATTCACCACCTTGTCCTATATTATAAAACATCTGTTATTGACCCACTAATTGATTACAATATCATTCTGACAACTTTCGCTTTCCTCCTCAAAACACGTCAAAGAATACTAACCATGTTTACTTTTAAGTTTCAATTCTGAACTCTCGGGTTAATGCGCTATTGTTGTAATGCAGCTGTCGGCCACTCGTGGCAGCACTGAGCGCGCATCAGCCGAGCGGCGCGGCGGTCAGTTCGTGAAGAAGACGTAGCGCGCGGGTTCAAACGGTAATGGCGGACGCTGACGTGAACCTGAGGAAGCTCCTCCACGTTGAGCTTCAGTTGCTTTTAAATCACCTTAAACCAACTTCCCACGTCGTTAACAGTGTTAGCTGACAACTGGTGAGTTTGTATTTTGAATGTTCTTCCGCCAAAGAGTTTTAGGACAAAACTGAAATGTCCAAAGTTGTTTTCAGGTGAATGAGAAAACACAGTGTCACCTGTTAGTGTTCCACACCAACCCTCAGCAGCTGCAGAGTCAGAGCCAGCAGATACACAACCAGCTAAATGTCACCTGGGGAATGAGCTTGATAGAAGTTAGCCTCAGTTTTCATTCGGTTCGGAGGTTTGTGATTGTGACCACTTCTCAAACTTCTGTGTCGTTTAAACCTGTGAAGAGTTTTTATGCTCGTGAGGTTTTCATTCTGTAAATGAGGCAAAGACACTGACTGAGGTGGATGGGACAGAAACACCAGTGGTGGTTGTAAGTAAGTCACTGTAGATGTTTGTGGAGTGACACAGTTAAAGGAGGAAGTTGAAGTTTGCTGATTTTAAACACAGTGAACGTATTTTTAGATTTAGTGTGAAACCTTCGTGTGATGTGATCAGCTTCATTAGCTTCATGCTGCCAGAGGAACAGCTTGTTTCACAGTTTTTAGATTTAATCGTACACACAAAACACACGTTTGTGTGTCTGCTCGTCTCTGTTACTCTTCACACAAACGTACGATCACATTTATTCAGTTAATACTCGATGGTTGTTCTGGTCACTGTAACCCTGATGTCATCGCTGTGTGCGTCCGGTCTCTTCTCGTGTTGTCTGTGGCAGCTGAACGCAAAATGTTGGACTTTTTTTTCAATGTGTTTGAATATGTGTCTCATGAACTCTAGAGCGAATCAAACAAACACAATGTGAACTTCAAGAGCTGTTTGTGATCTAATAACTTCTGATTAGTGTTGGTCTTTATTGTTCATGTGTAAAATGAGCAGTGAGGAGGAAGGTGATGCTGCAGGGTAACACAGCACGGTTCAAGGATACTGGGTCTATAATGTGTGTCTGCCCTGATCCTGCAGCAGCGGAAATGAACAGAGTAGAAACGCTGGTGTTTGTTGCAGTGCCTGGACGTTAGTTAGAGTACACTTAGTTGTCCGTTTATTAGGGACACTTGGTTTAAACTAGTGCAGTCCTGCAATAAATCCCACTTTTAGAAAGTTTATAAAGTTGGATAAGTGGGAAGAGTTGCCAGCAGAGTGAAGTGGAGGCATGTGCTGCTATTTACAAAAAATTGCATTGTTGCATTGTGATATGACAAATTTATGTAATCACCTTCTCAGTTCAGAGTGCTGTATTCGCTTCTCTCCATCTGGTACTGCTAGTAGAGCCAGAACATTTTCTCTCTTTCATTTCACCTGCCACATGTGTCTTGGTTTTCTGTTCTCTCAGCTTTCTTACTTACAAAAACTTTTTTATGAGCTGCAGCCTGGTGTTTAGAGTTTGAAAGCATGGTTACTGATAAGAGGTTGGCAGAGGTCTTTTATTCCAATGATTGCATCACTCTGAAACTAAAATCTATGATACAGCTTTAGTAGAGATTTGTGTGATCTTTGATACTAACTAGCCTCTCTGTGCTTTCTCATGTTGTCGACCTCAATGCCATCACGTGTTCCAAAACATTCTACTGTGTCAAAAGTTTCACAGAGCAGCCTGTACAGAATCAAATACGTGTTTCCGCCAATTGTTTGCTCTGTAGTTCAAAAGTCCAATGACCTCATTTACCCTCCAATGCTTTGCTTACCAGCTGGTCTATTTAAGAAGAAAGTTAAATGTGGCTGTTGTGCAACTGAACACATCAATAATAGATAATGGGCTGGTGATCAGACTTTGGGTCCTGATTTCACTTAACAACAAAACCCTTTTGATTGTGCTGCTTCAGCAGTACACCGTACTGTGATAGACGTTTTATGTACTAGGACATTAGATCATCCGTTTTTATTGAGACATCTGTTGATTATGCTTCTGATCAATTGTTTGAGATAAGTGTTTAATGTTCAAATTTATTTGTCTGACCTACAGACCAGAACCTCAAACTAAATTTTTACTATCATATAAAATGCAGAAAAGCAGCAAATCCTAACAAATAAATCAGGTAATTTTGGGCAATGTTGTTAAATTTAACAGTTGCAAGCAATTGTGTTACTAACAAACATATCATTTCAGATCTGACTTTTTTTGTTGTTGTTAGGATTTTGGTAACCAAGAGAGTTTTACTGGACATGCAGCCTATAACTATGTTTTACGTTATGTTCTTATGACACTTGTTCGGTCATGTGCACTCTGGTGTTGCTGGTTGTTCCTGTTTGTTTGCACATCACAGGCCCTCTGGGTCTGACAACCAGCTGTCTAGAGGCTCTCATCTGTCCTCACCAGGGGGCGTTCAGGGGACATAGGTTTTATAGCAGAGCAGAATGAACCCAGTGTTTCTCCTCACCTGCAACTTCCCTCCAGAGCTTTTTTTCTTCTCCTTTTTCATCTCAATGCACTTTCCTTGAGGCCTGAGAGAGACAGGTTTGAATTTATGTGTGCCCTGGTCATGCACATGAATTAAAGCTGCGTTTGCTGCTGTAAAATCATCTGAGCTCAGTTTGACATTCAGAGGTGCAAGTTGGCACCTTTCTGAGAGGTCAGTGCTCTAACTGAGCTCCAATTCCCTGTAAAGTGTTTCTTATTTTATCTCACTGCGATAAACCTGTGACGTGTGCTGAGTGCCTGTATGTTGATTTAGTGATATTAGACTGCATGTTTCCTATGAGCTGAAATGCAAAGTCAGCCAGGCGACTTGGTCATTCGTTTTTTTAATTCTGAAAGACATTTTGAGGCAGCAGGTTAGATCTGGGTGTTTGCTACATGTAGAAAGGGATAAGAGGGGAAATTGCTATTGCTTTTGTGTCAAATATTTGATATCTTTGGTTCTTATGAATGTATTAAAATAATGTGAAAACGTTAGAAGCCAAAATTTGTAACTTCTAGACTTATTTCACTTGCTATGAGAGGTCTGCTTTACACATTGCTTAATTTTAGGAGAGCTGAAGTGATTAATTGTTCTCTCAATCAGTAAATTAGTTTGGTTATTGATTAATTGTGTCATTCTTCCCAAGCAAAACATTGAAACAATGTCAAAGATT